TTTTTCAGATTCTTTACTGCTTCAAACCAATTTTTTCGTAATCCTCATGGGAAACTGACTATAAAAATTTATATTTAGAATCACTGTATTCCATATAGCAAACTCCTGTATAGAATGTAAAGATTTAAATATAACTTTTTATACTCAGTTTTCCATGAGGATTACGAAAAAATTGATTTGAAGCAGGAAAGAATCTGAAAAAATAAACTATGGTATCATACCCAAAGTTTATCAATTTTTTTTGTAAAAATTGACGTATAACGCCATCTTGAATTTTTTTTTCCAAAAAATAGTCTTCTAAAATTTTAAAAATACTTTTTCGATAATCACTGGACTCCCATCTACTAAACTAAGTGCAGAAAAAAACGAAAAAAAGTATCACTGTGATTTTGAATTTTCAGTACCTTACTTAAAATTAAGCTAAGTAGATTAGAAGAATGACGAATCGTATACGGTTTTCTCCATCTGAACTCCTATGGTTTGACTCACTATTACAGACACATATATTAAGTCTATTTTTTCTATTTTTTATCATGATATTTTGCAAGAATACTCATCGCATTTTAATCGTACCTTTTTTTTCATATTCATATCTTTAATATTAAGGCAAGATTGAGAAATAATCATGCATAGCAAACAAGTAACAAAAAACGAAATAAGTAATACTAATACTTCAGCTTAATAAAAATAAATTCTCACCCAATTCAGTATATTTTCAGAAAAAAATCATTCAATAATGTTACTACTGAAATCATCTTGAATAAAAAAAAGTTTATTGTTACTGTAAAATGATTTCGCGTCTTGAGTATCTTACCGGTGTAGTAATGGTGTCTTTATTACGTTTCAGCTTACGCATCGATACATATATTTCATATTATGTGATGTATTTACCTTCGCAAAATCATATACATTACTGATATAATGCACATGTAGTGTGTAAGCAGTGATAAAAATTATACAAAAAAGAATATAAAACAATGAAGCATAGATGAAAACGAACAGGCAGAATAGAACAGAACAGAACAAAATATGCACACATATTTTTAGTCGCCGTCTGCGTTGCACATTCTACTATCCATTTAAAAAAAAAGAAAGAAAGTGTGATCCAGTTAAATAACTTGAGAATTTGCATATAAAAGTAATTAAACGTAGTTATTTTAATTTTAATTTAATACAGGAAATTTTCAATCTTGTTTGATCATATTCAGCATTATATTATGGGGGAAATGTTACAATTGATATAACAAACAGAAACAAAACCAAAAGATAGAAACGTGTTCTACTTTAATGAAACCATAATACGAATTAATTTGTATTTTACTTTAATTTTAAGTACTCGAGTTTTAAAAATACTACTTTTCTGTAACAATGTATGAGAAATATATAAGCTTGGGATTTTTAACCGATTTTCATATAGTTATTGTAACGTAGTTGAGGTATATAGATATTGAAGAAATGATGAAGTGGTGATATAAATTCTTTATTCCAATAAAACTACGACTTGACACATCGTAGAGTGTGGGTGTGAATGTGGGTGTAAGATAAAAACAAAACAATAACTTCCACACACTCATCCTTTATCTTAAACCAAACAAATACATATAAATAAAGTGAAACGTAGCATGTGAGAATCCATTTCTTAATACTTAATAATTAAAATAATGTCGAACATAGTTGGGTGAAGGTGCAAATGAGATGTAAATATAACACCCTTGCTTACACCCACACCCTAGTTCACCTGGATGTACTTGTAATATCGAACAGAATAAATATAATAAAGAAATTTCTATTCCATGTTTTATACAAAAAAAGCAACTTTTATCATAAATTAAATATTCAACGTTCTGCTTAAATTTTATTTTGATTTTAAACACTAACTTGCTGTTAGATTTATACTTGTTTATAGATGAGGCATCTTGTTGTTTAAATAGAATTTGAGGATATTCAAAATAGACAGTTTTTAATATTTCTATTTAGATTTATTGTTTTGATAAACCTGATTTCAAATTCATTCAATATTTAGATTCAAACAATCAAAAAAAAATAAAATTCAAATTGTTTGAAAATTGAAAATTAGTTCTATTAGTATTCTCAAAGACTAAATATGTGAGATAGAATCATGAGATGTTCATTAAGTTCAACATAGCAGACGTTTCAAAAATTATATTCTATTTTACCGCCTTTTATTTATTTTTTATTCATCATCAGTGAACAAAAAAAAGAAACTGGTACAGCCTGTTGCGAGATACAAAAAGACAACAGGTATTGCTTGTTTTGCATGAGTCGTTGAGTATTAGACATTCCAGATCGAATAATCCGGCCCGGAAACGGTCGATTCCAGACAATTCCGGCGAACGAATTCCTGACATCTACGTTTAATGGTGCAGTTGACTTGATCACACAAACCCGAAAAATCATTTTAACACGACTAACGTCGTATAAATCCTTTAAAAAAAGCAAAATGAATTATGAGATATTTTTATGAAAAAAAATTATACTACTTCCATTATCGCCATTTTTATTCGTGCTCTTATTGAACAAAACACGAACAACAAATGGATGATATAACGCAAAAAGAAATTATAACATACCATAAGTTGACCTTTTGCCTTTAACCAACCAACTAATCAATATAACGACAAATAGAAACAAACGTGCGGGTGCGGGTCAATAACTACATTTTTTCACATACCAAGATAATGTGAAATGACGCAAGCAGAATCACGATCCAATATATAGCCATAAATACCCAGGTCGAGCGTTTCGGAATTCTTCTAAGTACAATGTGAGGTACAAACATCGTCGATTAGATGTTCTAAAATAGTAAAATAAAGCGACATACTTAAAAATAAATAACAATCAATAAGAAGAACTAAGTACTTACTGTTTGATAAATGCATCACTTTAAATCATCTAGAATAAAATAAAATAATAAAATAATCTAAAATAAAACGCTATAATATAAAACTTGACGCTTCGGGCAACAATGTCGTCCTTCGTCAGAAGTGATTGTACATTTTTTCTATAGATATTTTATTTATATATGTTTCATTGAATAGTGGTACTATATCATGTTGCTTATTTTATCGTATTGAATTTCTTCTTAAAATTGATTTTATGTTTGATATTGGTAGTGTCTTGGTGAAGGATATTATTCTAAGCATTATCGATATTGTTGTGCTGATTGGTTGAGTTATTTATTCTTGAGTAAATTGCTTCTTTTATTTTTCTTCTTCGATAATCGGTATCGCCATCTATTACGAATGATGAGTTTGGATTAAACATATATTCCCAACGTTTCTGATGATGATGTTGGACCATTTCTGAACTAATGTTTCGATTCTTGTATTCGATAATATTGTCGTATTGTTTCATTCTACGTTTCAAACCAACTTTTGTTTCTCCATTATATATTGAACTACATTCACATTCTATTTATTACACGACCACTTTTGATTGTGGTTTGAGGGTGTGGGTGTCAGTCTGGTTCTAATATAATCCACACCCACACTCACCCAAAATTCTTTATATTATTTACATATTAGCTCAATGTATCCATTATTATCTTATGTATGGATTCTTCGCCCTACATATACTTTAGCTACCTTGAAAACTAAAGTCTTTGATTACATCAACTATGAAAGCACAATCAAAATCGATCGTGTACCAAATAGAATGTGAATGTGGTTCAATATATATACATATATATATGCTAATGATTTAAATTTATTTTAAAAATATGTCACATAAAAAGTTTCACAGAATTTCTCTGAAAGGATTTATTTTAAACAACAATATAGAAATTTTACCAACATCTTTTATTATATTTTATATGATAAGAAATGGTATTATTATGTATTATTATGTAATTGTTTTTGTTTTGATTATGAAATAGATCATTATTGAGTTGAATCATCACAAATATTTGGTATTACCATTTTTCAATAGCTTTATAATACCTTCGTTTTTATGATTAAATCTATTCATATCTTTTTTTATTTATTTCGATATAGTTTTTCTTCTTAAAGTAAATTATTATATTTATCAATAGTTTTATTTTCGTTAGATTTTCCTCTGTGGAAATATTCATTCGACATTTTTAATTCTATCAATTAACAAAACGAAAATATTGAAAGTTTCTTTTTAGTTAAAAATAAAAATCTATTTTATCAAAAACAAACTAGATTTTTTTGTTATATTTCTTCTCTTCTTCACTTGAAACATCAAATTTTATTCTTTTGAAAAACAGTTAAAAGAATTTAATCAATAAAAAAGAAATTCAAAGACGAGTTACAGTCTTATCGAAAGTTTAAGAAATAGATCATAGTCGAAAGCGTAGCAATAGTTCGTTGATTTTCAAAAAAACGCGACTATTTTATACGATAAAAAGTGATTATACTTCTTCGATTATTTTTATCTCTGCAATACAATATATTCTGGGAAAGTAGTTATGTGATGTGCTTTTGTTCTAAACTGGGAAATAACTCATTGCGAGAGAAATCAACAGAACAGAAGAAAAAAATATGATACAATCATATATATATAAAAAGAGAGAAAAATACCCATATTATCATATATGTGGCTGATGTAGAGAACAAATATTTTATTTGTTCGCTTGCAAGTGGTATAGACAGAATTCTTATTCATATCGAAATAATTAAAAAATATCAGAAGTTTAGAAATTCAATTGTTTGAAATAGCTTCATTTAGGTAAGTTTGTTTTTTTAAATAATATAAAAAATGAGCAAAAAAGAATATCACATAATAACTACCTTGAGAATGAGAGTGAATGAAAAATCGATATATTATTCATCTGGTGAGTAAATTTATGAGTGCAGATCTATGCTTAATCTTTACCTACATCCAAATCTACATTAAAATTTTTTCGAGTTCTTCTACTACAGAACAAACATTTTAATGTCATTGAATCATTAACTTAATATATCGATAAAAGTAAAAAAGGAGATATTCATTTCTTTTATAAATTTATATTCAAAGATATGGCAATGGCAAATAACAAAACAATATGTTTTAAATGTAATAAGAAAAAAATAACATATCCTTGTAAAGGATGTTCAAAAGAGTTTTGTTTAATGGATTTAACAGAACATCGTCACATATTAAATCAAGAATTATATCATATTACTAATGATTATGATCAGGTTAAACATAGAATTAATGAACAAAAACCGAATCCACATGATCTTTCTTCAATAAATCAAATTAATCAATGGGAAACAAATTCCATCGAAAAAATTAAACAAAAAGCAAAAGATTGCAGAGAAATTGTTATTAAATCATCACAAACATTTTTGAATGATATTGATATGAAATTTAAAGGTTTAACGGAACAAATAAAACAAATTCGTGAAGAAAATGAATTTAATGAAATAGATTTAATTTACTTAAGAAATCAATTGAGAAAAATCTCTCATGAATTAAATAATTCATCAAACATGTCTATTCAACAAGATTCTCAATCATTTATTAATGAAATTTCAGTTATTTCATTAGAAAGTAAGTTTTTAATAAATAGTTTTGGAAAAAAAAATTCTCATTTTTTATGAAATTGTTGAAAAAATTATAATGATGAAGAAGGGGAAAAACATCGACAATCTTATTAATTAATTTATTAGTGAAATCAATTCTAACTTGGTGTGTAACAAAGAATCGGATGATTATATTTCAATTTGAAAATCTGTTTAGGGATGATAGATTTATTAATTCCATCTATTTATCTACAGTATAAACTTTCTACAGGGTAGTATTATAGAAAGATGTTTATGGAGAAGAGAATTTCCAGAATTTTTATTTTTGTCAGTATTAATTTAGTTATTTAGCAAAACTGGTTCTCTTTTCTTGATATTTATTAATGAAGAGAGATATTTTCTATGATTGGTAATTGAAAATCATTTTTATAATAAAAATTAAATCAAATAAATCTAGAAAAGAATATATTGAAAAACTTTGTTTGTTTTATTATATTTATGTATTGATATTTTATGATAAACATATAAATAAATTATGTTTGATTTGAGTTTCTTGAAGTTTATGTAATTATATCAGAAATCTTCGTTGTATTGTTTATTCGATTTTTACTATAGTTTTTCTTTATTTTTTGATATTTCAACAAATTGATAACTATACTGAAATCAGTAGACGTTCTATATTTGCAAATTTCATTGAAAATGAATCTTTTCTTTTGTCTTCGACTAATAAACAATTTTCTTGTTCTTCTTTCTATAAAAATCTTTTGTTTTGATATTTTTCTAGAACCAAAATTTAACAAATGGAAACAAAATGCCATCACTGTGGCTGGTGGAAATGGGCTAGGACAACAATTAAATCAACTCACTCACCCTTACGGAATCTTTATTGACGAAAACAAAAATATTTTCATTGCTGATTGGCATAATCATCGTATTGTAGAGTGGAAATTTAATGCAAGACAAGGACAAGTCATTGCAGGCGGAAATGGGGAAGGAGATCGAATGGATCAATTGAATTGTCCAACGGACGTAATTGTTGATCAACAAAATCATTCGATCATCATTGCAGATTCGGGTAACAGACGAGTGATTCAATGGTTAAATCAAAAGCAACAAACTCTCGTTCAGAATATTGACTGTTTTGGCTTAGCAATGGATAAACATGGATTCCTTTATGTTTCTAATCCGACGAACAATGAAGTGAGAAGATGGAAAATGGGAGAATACAATGAAGGAGTTGTAGTTGCAGGTGGAAATAAACAAGGATATCAACTTAATCAACTCAACTATCCTACTTTCATCTTTATTGATGAAGAGCAAACTGTTTATGTATCAGATTGTGACAATCATCGTGTAATGAAATGGAGAAAAGGTGCAAAAGAAGGAACAATTGTAGCTGGAGGAAATGGTCATGGAGAAAATCTTAATCAATTATCTACACCTCACGGAGTAATTACTGATGATTTAGGTCAAATATATGTGGCAGATAGGGAGAATCATCGAATAATGCGTTGGTGTGAAGGAAAAGAAGAAGGTGAAATTGTTGTTGGT